CGCCCCTTAAAAAAAGAGAGGGTGCCGCAAAGCCCAAAGCCAGGCATCCCGCGGCTGCCGAGTTCTGTGGGCGCCGAGGGGATGGGGAGACGCAAGGGCTGGGCAGGAGGGCGTCACGCCTGAGCCCTGAGGATGCTCCCGGCCCCTGCGAGGGGCAGCAAGGGCAAAGCTGGGGCGTCAGCTATTTGAAAATACACAGAGCGGGTATGGGGCGTGTGCCGCGGGATGCTTAGGAGCTGGAGTTGGTGTCTTGGGAAACAAGTAGAAAGACAATTGTTGTTTTATCTTGGGGAGGAAAAAGCGGAAGACAAGAATTAAAATAAGTCTTCAGGGACTGAATGAAGAGCTTTGTGCAATGTAAAGCACATTTTGCTCAGCTCTTTGGAACACAGGCATTTCCTAAAACACAGCCTTGCTCCTGAAATGTAATAAGGGATTTAAAACTCAGACATTTCATTTCCAGTACATGAAAGAATTCCAAATGCTTTTGTCTTGTACGTTCCTCGGTACCAGCTCTTAACAGCTCTGCCTGACCCAGGTCTTTTCCCTCCAGCCAGGAAATAAAATGATGTTGTCCGCTGACGTTCCAAGGCTTCTCACCACCGCGCTGCATTACTGATCACAATGTCTTTAACGCTGTCGGCTTTTAATGCTGTCGGCTTTGGCCGGCTTTGAGCTTGATTCGCTCCTCCCACCAAGCAGCATTAAGCTGAGCTGACCGCTGAAGTCGGCGTTTATTCGTACCCCTCACCCCAGGGTGAGACGGTTGGGCTTGCGTTGTCACAGTCCTGGTTGTCAGCAATATGTATGCTTGTTCTTTATGTGGGGTAGAAAGGAAAAATTCTGTGCACGGAGAAGTTGGAAGTATATTGGGTAGGGCTGTCTTGCGAAGGCACTTGTCAAATAAGATGCAGGCTGAAAAGGCCTTTCATCTCCTGCAATGTTTAGTTCAGCATAAGTGCAAAAGGGGCAATCTCTTTCTCTCCATTCCCCTGCTTCCCTCATGCTCGCACCAGCCTTTGTTTGGATGGGGGAGCAGATCCAGCTAAAGAATAATCTGGTTATGCTGGGTTTGTTTGCGGTTCCTTGGTGTGGTTCATCTCATACTTGCACAAGCGCTAGGGTAGAAATGAAGGGGCAGGGCCAGGGATAGGGCAGAACTTCTCATTTCAGCAGCATGACCAGCTTACACTAGTCTTAACGGCCTGCAGAGCTGTTTGGTGTTAAAGAGACGGCAAAGTACACGTTGGACTTGATTTCCTTCCCTTACTTCCCAGCTCTAAAGCACTTAACTTTTACTAGTGATATCCGTACTGACTGACAAAGCATCTGGTGAGAGACATGCCAGTGGCTCCGATGTGCCGGAGCACCCCGGAGAGCATCACCTATGGCTTCTTCCTCAGTGCCGAAACATGAGGCTGACTCGGTGTGGTATGTGCTGAAGCTGGGTAGGAGGAAAAAGTGTTTTGAAATCTGCTTGGCTGAACCATTTGACATTAGTTACTAGTTGCTTATCAGTGGAGGGTGCTGTAAGAGTTGTACTGCGTTCCTCCAGCACTGTCTGGCAGCAAACTCCCTGTTGCAGTGATTAATTTCTTCAAGGGCAGAAGGGCCTCGTGTCCCCTGTGACTAACTAGCTCTTCCTGGCTAAGCCTGGGACCTCTGGGGTCAGAGGGTAGTTTGAGGACCACCTGGTCCTTATTAAGGCCAACACAGCTCAGGTTAGCAAATGAAGGTTAGGAGCAGGTTTGTTTGCTACAAAGTGGTAGTGGGTTGCTAAAATTGTGATGGTAATTTCTGGGTCGGAGTAGGAATGTGAGGGGAGAGTTGTTCCTTAAATGATGGTACAGCTTTTTTAATTGACTTGTGCTGCTGGGTATGTGGCACCCTGCAAAAGACCAGGTAGTGCTGATCGGGGGTGACAAGAAAAACTTGTGCCTGTGAGGAGATAGTTTGTAATCTGCTTGCATTGGTGGTTGGTGGAGGCTGAGCAAGTGGTGTGTGCAACTGCTCCATTTTTGCATCGGATCTGTTCTTAATCCCTAGTGATGGGAGGGAGTTTTCATCCCCTCCCCAAGAAGCTCCACTTGATTGCTCTAATCATCTTGGTATTAGTCTCAGTGATCATACACGCAGGGCGGTAAGTAGCTTCTTACTGTATTGGCGAGGTTGTCCTCACTGGAACAAATGCAAACTGCAGGGGTGCAGGGCTGCATCTCTCCTGGGAGGAAGAGTACTCACAAAAAGCCGGTTTGTCTGCAATGGGGGGCAATTTTGGAACCTGAGGGCTCCCTTGGTTGCACCCCCCACCTCTGACTTTTGGCTTGAGCTCTGGGAAGGGTGCAGGCTCCCAGTTTGGAAGGGCTGTGCAATCCTTTATGTGGCCTGTGATCTTGGAGATACTTGTAGATCTTAATGAATTAAACCTCTCACCAGCTTTGACGGCTCTAGCCTGCCAGCTTCATCTGTGCTAAGTAACAGCATACTTGCAGGACGAGCTAGCAGAAAATTACTTTCTGGTCATTAAATGAGACACAGTGGAGTCAGGCAAGACGAGTTTCACACAGGATGTCTGCAGTGAACTGAGACTACAGCGTTTCCAGCCACAGCTCTGCCACAAGGTCTTGCACTGCAGGGGCTCTGCTGTCTCTGGAGCTGCTGCTGCTTGGAAATACTGACAGTGGGTCAAGGCCCGTTCATCTGCCTGGTCTCTGAATTTCACTCACTTTATAAATTCATGGTCTGTAGTGCTGTGTCTGTGTTACTTCTCGGTGTCTCTAGCCTCCTGCTACAAACCCTCGCAGGCTCCTGGCTGCTGCACTGGGATGTGCACCGGTAGCTGGAGGGCTGCAGCCTCAGCCGCAGCAATGTCGCACTTTCCTTCGCTTGTGGTATCCTGGAGCCCTGGCTTCTGCTCTGTGCTGGTTGGGTGCCTGGGATTGGTGCTCCTGCAGCTGGGGCAGGAATTTGGGGGGAAAAAATGGATTTTGTTTGGAGGGAGTGGGAGCGGCGGGTGGCTCTCCACTGCCTGGTCTGGCTGGCAGCATGGTGCTGTGTATTGCCCACCCGGCACTGGAAGGAGGAGAGCAGTGCGCTGTCCTGTGCGGGGGAAGACCGATGGCCGCTTCTCCCTCATTGCCTGAGATCTGGAGGGACTTGTGTCTCCTGGCTCGGCAGGCCTGCCGAGGTAATTTTAACAGGCAGGTGATGGGATATGTGTCAGCCGTTGGGAAAACCCTGGTTCTCTTTACCTGAGTGTGCCCTGGTGACTGACACGATTGTCCTCCGCCTTCGAGACGGGGAAGCACCTTGCCTGGAGGTCTAAACCTGACCCCTGTGGCGAGGGTGGCCACTGTGGGTTACAGCAAGGGCTGTAACTTCTGCACTGGTGTGGTCCCTATGGGATGCTGTCCCATCCCACAGCTGGGTGAGGGCAGGGGCCTCCATTTTGTGGAGGGCCGGGAAAGGGGTGCTATGCCCCTGGCAGCTCTGCAGCAGCCAGGCCTCTTGCTGGCCGGGACTCCCATTGCCTTGGCATGTTGTGTCGTGTATGTGCAACACATGCACCTAGAGTTTTTTATCTTTGAAAACAAGGAGTGTTTATATCGGAGCAGGAAAAAAAACCCCTGGAAGGATTTGACAGACCTGCCTTAATTCCCTCTTTCAGCCGCTTGCTGCTCCTGAAACTTGAGCCCTGTCTGGTGCGTTCTGTCCAGGCCTGCCTTAGTGCCGAGGGGGACAGGTGAATAATTCATCCAGACCAAAGGGTCAGGGGGCGGAAGGAACTTGTGAAACTGAAAAATTTCCTCTAATGAAAGGTTAGGTGTGGAAATTGTGATTAAGAAGTGTTAATGAACCTCGCTTATAACTCCCACTTGTTTGGAGAGAAAACCCCTGTGTGCGTGGTTGTCTCCTGTGTGGCGCTGGGGATGGTGGCAGCGTGCTGGAGGCCTGGCCGTCTGTCTCCTTGCTGCTTAAAATACGTTTCTGTGTGCCAGTAATGTAGGAGTCCCTATTTTGGGTTTTTTCCCTTCTCCAAGGTGTATTTACTATTTGACTGTAGTAACTAGCTGCATGTAGTAAATGTTGGGTTTTGGTTGTCTTGGGATTATCGGTGCTTGCTCTCTGAAAGCAAACACACAATCCTCCACTACGTTTGTAAGGATTGTACTAACTTCTTCTTGCCGCTCTGCCCACTTTAACATCTGCTGACCCTGTATTTTGCAGTCTCACCCCTAAAATAAGGGGACTTGGGACAAGGCCCTGCTCCTTTCCTGCTTGGTTACAGGCTCAGGACCCACGTAGCTGTGGGGATTAAATATGGATTGAGGGCCCGGCTTCTTAAAGTGCTTAGGCACAAGCAGATGTCTTATGGGATTTTGGAAAATCCCATTACGGTGCCAGTCTATATCTTTAAGTGTCTTAATATCATTAAATATCTGGGTCCCAGGTGGTCTTCTAGGTACCATGCACTCCCTGTCCAGCAAGTGTACTGCTTACACGCAGCAGGTGGGAAATTATGCAGCCTGAGATCCTTGTCTCCTTTTATCTTTCTCTCATGGTAGAGGAAACCAAAAATTAGACTTGAAATGGCTTCTCGTGGGAGGGAGGATAGCAGAGCCAGTGCTGGGACTCTGCTCATCCAAACTGCCTTGTGCTAGAAGGGAAAAATGGGAAGCATTTGCCTTCTCTGCTGGACTGCCTGCCCACATAGGGCGGTGTTTCAGGGATGTCAGTGGCCGGGATAAGCAGCCTGCCACGGCGGGGGCCTGCCCTGGCCTCTCCGCTCTGGCAGGGATGGGGCCAGCTGCGGTGCACGGGCAGCCCCCGTTGTCAGCGGGATGACTTTGCCTGATGCTTGAGTTCATGTGGGGTTCGAGCCATCTGTGCTGCTGCGTTGCGTTGCACTAAGCGCATGCCGCTGCCCAAGTAAATCACTTATCCACTCTGTAGGGAGCGGTAACTGTCTAACCTCTTTATCTTTTTTTTGTGTCCAGCCCTCAGTGCCGCCGGTGCCAAACTACAAGCTCTCCATGTCAATCCCAGAATGGCTCCAGGCAATACAGACCTACATGAAGATGCTGCAGTATCCTTCTCCAGCGTGCGCGGTCTCCAGAGAGAAGGCTGGCTTGTTCCTGACATGAATTAACAGGGCCTTACTGAAGCACTAGCTGGTTGTGAAGGCTTGGGATCATTCAGGGCTGAAAGGACGCCTCTAAGGATTTGTGATAGCACCTGCAGCACTGAGCTTGTCACAGCAATCCTCTGGGAGATGTAATTAACTTTAAATGATCCTGAAGAATTTAACTGAAGTGACGTTGGTGGGAGTGGAAATGCTTATTTTGAAGTTGGTTTATGAGGATATTATGATCAGATCGTGATGCCTGGAGAAATAATATGGCATCTCATCATAAAGCGACTAAGGGAGAGCCGGTGTTGTGGCAAACCCTTTCTCCCTCTGCCCTGGCAGCCCCTGTGGGCTCCCTGAGGACTGCCTATGTGCTCAGCTTGTACGGGGTGCTTGTCATTGGGGTGGTGGGCACAAGCATCTGTCCTGACTCTGAGGTGAGCAAGCTTGCCCATGGCACAGGAAGCGATTCCTTTGTCCCACCTTGCTTGGGGGGCTCATCAGAGATGTACACATCTATCCAGCCTCCATATTGCTGCCCTATGCCTAATGCTTGATGATTTCCATTGCTGACAGATAATGTTGGAGGAGTCGGTCGCTGGCCCAGATGCTGCTCTTCTCTGTTTTCCTTTTTTCTAAACTCTCCTTTTTTGTGTGTATATGTATGTGTGTGGGGGGAAGCAGTCGGGATGAGGAATGAATGTAAAGTCCTGATAAGGATTAAGAAAGGATATGGGTGGCAGCTGGAAGAGCATCCAAAAATAGCAGGCGTGGTTAGCCTGCTGGGATCAAGGCGGCAGCAGGGGTTGGAGCTGCAGCAGCTGCTGTGGGGAGGGAGGCTGGGGCCAGCCTGCTCTGCGGGGGGGTGGCACATTTCTCTTTTGCATGTTGGCCACTTCGGCAGGACGAGGGGCTCGCTGCTCAGTGGGGTTGTGCTGGAGAGGAGCCCATGTGATACAGAGCTCCAAAAATGATATTTTTTTTTTTCCCCCCAGTGGTCTTGAAATCCTGTGCTATCCTACATAGCAGGAGCAGGCCTTAGGGGTTTGGATCTGTGTTCAGAAAAGCTTCAACGCGGGCTGGGGAACAGGATCTGGGCTTCTTTTGTGGCTGAAAGAGGCTGCATGCTTTGTTCAGAGCACTCTGAAAGGGCCTCATGAATTGGGTTTTGAAGGCAGGAGGGAAGCAAAGCCTCATTTCCGGAGAACTCTGAACTCTAATTGAAGTCAGTTCAGAGCATCCTGGTGCAAGCTGGAGTTTTTATTTAGACCATGGTTATACAGCCAGCAGCTGTGCTATTTATGCCTCGCAAGGTACTCCTTGGGGGTGACTGTTTCTGCCCTGGTATCACCACCACAATTTTGCTGGCATGAATGTCATGTTGGGAACTAGGCTGGGGAACAGATTCAATTGGAAAAATAACCTAGCAAAAGTAAGTGGATGGTGTGATTTTTTTTTTTTTTTTAAATTTTTGTTGTTGTTGCATTTTTGGGTTTTTTTGGTTTTTACTGGACAGATCGGTTTCCCGATCTGATTTTCTGCATTACTGTTTGAACAGCTATGCTCAAGGAGCAGGGAGGAGGCTGCTTTTGGTGATGCTGATGCTGCACGGTAGCTTGCACTCCTGGGCAAGTGGTGCTGAGGTTTGGTTGATGAGTGAACGTCTGCTGGCAGCCTTTGTGATGAACTTTTCTCCTATGCTCATAGTGTTAACTAATGTTCTTGAGTTCCACTTAGCTGGTTATTTCCATTTCAAGTGCACTGTATTTTTTAGAGAATGATTTATATTTCCTAGATGTAAATGGATGCACCTGCTGTGCTTTTGGTTATAGGTCATATGTGAGCTATGTGGCTGACTGAGTTAAAAACTTAAGGAAATAAGTTCTTTCAAACCATGAATTATGTTGATTGGTTTGGCTAGACTATAAAAGCTTTCTTTTGCCCAAATGGGAGACTTTTTTTTTTTTCCAAACTTGTAACCTAATAGTGAGCGGGACGTATAGGAAAAGTGAATTCATAATCCTCAAATGCCAAATTTAAGTGTCGTTTTAGACAAACAACCTTTTACTTGACTGTCCACCTAATGCCAATTAATATGTCATATAAAAAGACAAGTGAAAAAAATTGCTTTATTTCACATGCCAGGGTTTCATCTCTGTTGAGACTCAATGGCTTTTACTACTTGTTTTATGTTGCAACAGGAAATCAGAACTGAAATTCACCTTTTGAGCATTGTTATTTTATTGTTTGACTGTTCAAGTTACTTTCCTTTAACAGACAAAATTCAGATACAATCACACGGGAACACAGTTCTTCGAGATTAGAAAAACCAGACCTCTAAGTGGGTAAGTGTCTCTGGAAGTGATCTTGTGCTCTTGTCCCACATCATGCCAGCTGATCACCTTGGCATTTAAGCACTGTAGCACCATGGCGTGGGAGGTCTGTCTCCTCCGTGCCCTGGCTTTTCTGGCAGGGCCAAAGCTGTGTATGTTGCTGCCTTTGCAAGGGGCCTTTGCAACGGGTCCCAGCTTGCTGCCAGGTGGCAAATGGACCCGTCGAGAGCCAACAAGTGGAAGGGCTGGTCTTGCTCAGCAGCCGTGTGGGAGCTGCATAGCTGCAGGCCAAAGCTGAATGCATGGGGCTGGGAAGACTCAGTTCTCCCTTGTTGGTGTTGGGTTGGGAGGGATGGGCTGCTTTTATGGAAACTATGTAGATCCTGATACTCTGGTTGTGCTGTAATGCCCTTTGCTGGAAGAGATCAGCTGTGCAAAACGCTGCAGGAATTTTGACGTCATCACAGGCGCAGTCCTCTCCCCTGGAGGATCACAACGGACCATTTAAATCATGGCCTTGCTTCTCCCATTGCTACTCATCTTGCCATTCCTTCCACATGGTGGACTCATGCGCTGGTTGGCGATGAGTTGTGCAATACAAGTATGAACATGTGCGCAGGGAGCTTGGCAACAGAGAGCTGGGATCCCTTGTATGTAAGAACTGCATTATACTTAGGACAGCTATTTAATAGGACCCAGTAAATTAGCAGGTTAGGCTGGGAAGTGATGTTGACAACATTATGCTTTTATTTTAGGGTGAAGTTTAGATAAGCAGAATATAATTACTCCTGTAGACTGGCCTGTCTCTAGTTCTTCCCAGCTGTCTGTCATTAATCTAATGGTCCATCACTGTAAATTCCAGTTCCCATCCCATCTCTGCGCTTCAGGTTTTCATCTTGCTGACAGCAATCTTTCCCACTTCCTTTCTCTATGTAATGTTCACTGCACCAGTTGAACTAGTTTAGAAGAAATCTTGTGCCTTGAATGATAGATGGGTTTACAGAAGCCTAAACCAATTTTCAGGCTGGTCACCCATTTTTAAATTTGTCCCATTACTTTTTTCCAAGGAAGTGGAGGATGAAAACGAATTGTGCTCAGCACCCACCACTTGAAAGGTCGGCGTCCTCCTGGGCTGGATGAAAGCCTGGCTTACGAGGACGGTACTCTTTCCTGGAATGGGAACCAATATAGTGCTCACAGCTGGAGATGCACTCATGGCTTTGGATCCTCTCCTAAGTGGTGCCATTTTCTCTATTTACCTGCCTTAGTGTTTGCTTGAGGAATCATGTCTGACTTCTCTCCTTGTCCTGTTGCTGTTAGGACTTCTGTGAGTGACTTGGTATGTGTCATGGTTTAACTCCAGCTGGCAACTAAGCACCACACAGCCGCTCGCACACTCCCCCCCGGTGGTATGAGGGAGAGAATCAGAAGAGTAAAAGTGAGAAAACTCATGAGTTGAGATAAAGATAGTTTAATAGGTAAAGCAAAAGCCGTGCACACAAGCAAAGCAAAACAAGGAATTCATTCACTCCTTCCCATTGGCAGGCAGGTGTTCAGCCACCTCCAGGAAAGCAGGGCTCCGTCACGCGTAACGGTTACTTGGGGAGACAAACGCCATCACTCCGGACATCCCCCCCTTCCTCCTTCTTCCGCCAGCTTTATATGCTGAGCATGACATCATATGGTATGGAATATCCCTTTGGTCAGTTGGAGTCAGCTGTCCCAGCTGCGTCCCCTCCCAGCTTCTTGTGCACCCTCAGCCTGCTCGCTGGTGGGGTGAGGTGAGAAGCAGAAAAGGCCTTGACTCTGTGTAAGCACTGCTCAGCAGTAACTAAAAGGTCCCAGTATTATCAACACTGTTTTCAGCCCAAATCCAAAACACAGCCCCATACTAGCTACTATGAAGAAAATTAACTTTATCCCACCCAAAACCAGCACAGCATGTGGTGGCAGGGCTTCTGCACGGTTAAGGAGAGTGCCCCTGGAAATGGTCCAACCCCCTGGGGCAGCTGTTGCCAGCTTGCCAGGCACAGTTGCCTGCACCTGGTGTGTGCTGGACTTGCACAGTGTTAAGTCCTAAGACCTATGCTATTTTACTCCTTGACCTGATGGACGGGAGTGCTAGGAGTAGCGGAGCTGTTAGGAGCACACTTAGCTTCCCAGCTCCTGTTGTACTGCAGTGGGGCTCGAGCGCTTGCCCTGTGTTGGTTTCTCCAACTTTAAGAAGGTGAATAACACATTGATTGCCCTATAATGTTGAGGTGTCCCTAAAGGCTTTCCTTTCCTTCATCTGTAGCACGTGGCTGTTCATACCAGCTGAGGATATCTTCTCTTGCAGTTGTCCTTGGCGATTTGTTCTCCTGCTGCCAGGCCAGTTTTCATTAGAGCTGAAAAATTGCCCACACCTGCAAGTTTTTTCCTGGGAGGTGTGTCCACTTTGCAAGAATTCTGCTTCCAGCATGGCAACAACAGGCGTTTTGTGCTGAGGTGACAAGTGCTGCTCTGAGCAAGTTGCTGTGGTGTAAAAGGCCTCGCTTGCTGCAGGACAAAGTTTGTATTTGCAAGTTGATCGGGCAAGATGCTGAGCACCTCCAGTTGCCACCGGCTCTTGGAAGTTGAGGCTGTTCCCAGAGCTGTGGTTTATTGATATTAAACATATTGCTTATTTCATAATACGAGGGCTCAAAGCTAATGAAACTATTATGAGATCTTTGGCAGCCTCTCTTCAAGAGAGCAGTGGCTGGACACAAAGAAGCTGAGCACTAGATGGAAATTGAATATTCATAAATTCATGTGAAAGTGTCTTAAAGCAGCTGGGGCATATTAATGAGTTTTTCTATTATGGAGGGAGGACTAGATATTATAGAGATTTACTGTCGGCCTCTGTGTGATGCATGAGAAAATAAAAATGCCTGGCTGTGCTTAGGAAGAAGAGCATAAATTATCTATAGGAACTCAAAACATTAAGGGACACAGGCTTGCTATAATTCAGTATTTACAATCTCTCTTAAGAAAAAGTCACTGTTAGCTATCAACTTGTTTCTAGACTGCCAGACACCCTGTGGATTTGTTTAGACTACAGATAGCACTTTTGAAAATGTTAGATTTCTGTTGGCATAGCTGTGTGAGTTGGGGTGGTAGAGATGTGATCCTGCAAACTGTGTGTGGTGTTTCTGTTGTAGTGGCAAACTGTGTCTGAAAATGCATCTTACCTGGCCTGAGTTTGCTGTATTTACACAAAATCCAGATTTACAGGTGTAGCTACATCCACCATAGGAGTGCTTTGCTAATAGAGTATACAAGGCATCCTGACCTGGGATGGTGTCCTTTACATAGGCTTCGTGATGTACCCTTTCATACTAGGTAGGTAAAGGGCAACCCATGGAGTTCAGCTCTACTGATCCACGGTATGTGTGTGATGTTTGCGATACAAGTGTTTCAGACATCGACTGAGCTGGTTTTCCTTTTCCCATACAGGATTATGCTGGCAAAACCTACATTACAGCTTTTGTTGGTACAACCATTCTGATAAAAAATGGCACTGTTAATTGGAATAGTCATTCTTTAAAATTCCCAAGCCTAGATCATTTAAGAGCTTTAGGAAAAAAAAAATATTTCTGGATATTTAGTAATATCTGTAACTGTGCATTCAATGCCAACAAAGTTTTATTACTGGCTTTATAAGGAGCAATAAGCCCTCTGCAAGCTTCTGTTCTAGGATGCAGGCGTGAGCCACAATGAGGAACAAATATCTTTGTCCTCCACAGAGTATCTGGGGAGGTTGTAGATACGTGCAGTATTGTGCTATTCACTCCGATTAAGTGCCAGCTGATCAGTGGGACCTATGACCGAAGCAAAAAGTGATGTTTGGGTAGGTTCTGGGGACTTTGAGAAATTACAGCTCAGAAGCTGCTCTGTGAAGGTGGAGAGACATTCAGTGACTGCAGATATAATGGGTAATCAATCGCAATAAAAGAGCGTGATAGAAGCGGTCACGTGGGAACGATGCAACCAAATAACAGTGGGGGGGGAGCGGAAAATAATACTGTTTCAACACACCATGTTATTAAGGAACCCTGATGGGGCTGTAAAGAAAAATGGGCTCATACCATTTCCAGACAATAGACTGCAGAAGGCATTTGAACATCTGCTTCTCTCTCGCACAAAGAGAGAATATTACAGATATGGGGCTATGTTCAGCATGTGGTAGAAGTGCTTTTGCCATTGAAACTGGTTTTGAGAAGATTCATGAGAGCAGTAGCTGCTCCACTGTTTTATCTCCTTTTCTCCTGTTGGTGCCTTTCACTTCTCTCTTTGCTTCATTGGGAAAAATAAAACTGTCAGGAGCCTTAGAAAAACTTGGGAGAGGGAGATTTTATGGGCCTTATGCAAGTACCGAGGCCTTAGGGAAGGAGAATTTAGTGGAAAATGTGCTGGAGGATCTCACTAATTCAAAGTTTATTGAAGTCTGTAGGAGTTTTTCTGGTAAAGGTAATGGGCAACCTCTCCTCCTAAGCATGGTCATCTCTGAAGTGACTCTAGCGTGATGAGTGCCAGCTGGTGAGATCTCCAGTTTTGGGCATCCTAAAAGGTTTGAAGCTTTTTCTAACCTGTGTATGAGATTGGATGCCCTAGTGAAAAATCTGGGAGCAAAAGCAATTCATGGTTCCCCTGAGATAACTGCAGTCACTGCCATTTTAAACAGAAAGCATCCAAAAGGTGCAAAACCATCTCCTCTATGGGCCTTCTCTTAGTGCAGAAAGCAAGGGCGGTAATCCAGGTGAGCTTCTGAAAACACTGAAAGAAATTTGAGTCAATTTACAAGGAAATATCACCATCTGACAAGGACTAGATCTCAAGGGAGGAGCATGCAGCCTGTTTGTTAGAGGCAGAAATGTTCACTCGTGGTCTGGAATAGAGATCTGCCTGGCAGACTTTAGACAGTGGTGTAAATGCCATGAAGAGGGAAGCTGCATGATGCTTATTTTTGACTGTAGCAGTCTCTCCCAAGTTACTGGAAGAGATGGGCTGCCCCCGTGCTCACTGGGGTCTGTGGAAAGGGTGGCTTTGGACTAGTTCCCAGCTAACCGTGATATGAGATGGAAAAGTACTGCATTAGAGTATCATGTATGTGGAGTCTGTTCAGATAACTGGAAAGATTTAAAGAAAATCCCGAGAACAAACCCTACTCAGGCAGGGAATTGAAATGCTTGATGCTGTTTTTTAGTTCTTTCCCCACTTCCTTAAATATTCATTCATAAGTTTAATGGTGCAGCCTTTCGGGTCATGATTAACGTCTGAGACAGCGTGGTAAGAATTCAGGAGTGAAAGAAAATAGGGAAAGGACAAGTCAATTAGTTGTTTTCAAATGAGCTGAATGCTCTTTTAGAGAACTGGCAAACAACCTCCAAACCATTAATACTTCTGTTAGAGGGTGTGGGGAGGGTGGGTGCTCTTGTTGGAAACTGGGGAAGGCAAAGATACCTTTAAAAAAAATGAGCGAAAAGATAAGTCTAGGAACTATTTGAGTTTATCTGCAGTTTCGGGAAAAATGCTAGGGCACATAATCAAGTGTCTGGAGCATAACAAAGTGGTAAGTGATAGGCAACGTGAGTTTAGTTTGGCATGGTTTGGTTCTGATAATTTCCGTCTATAAGAGTATAAGAGCTTTTGTCAATCAGGGAGAAGTTGTGGTTGTGATAATTCTTTGCTTTAGTATGGCTTTTGGCAGCCTCCAGGTAAGGCAGGGACCTCGAGTCTAAATGAAACTATTTTGACATAAGGACCCAACCTGGTGAAAAGCAGCAGTTAGAAAGTGGTAATTAACCAATAGCTTGCTCTTGCCTAGCAGAGTTTGTCAGTTGAGGTGTGCAATCTCTGTCCTGGGTCAATGTTTTTTCATTAATGGTGTGGGTAAGACTAATTGTTTGCTAATAGATGTGTGTTGTAGTCCAGGCTGGACAAGGTGACAAGGCTTTGCAAAGTGGAATTGGGATTCCGTATGATCTGGAAGGGTAAGAGAGAACTGGGTTGGAACAAACAGGAGGTATCTGAGTAAGGGCAAATACAGAGAAGGAATTTGGGAATAGCCAGCTGTGGGAGTACACAATGGAGAACGAAAGGCTAGTTTTGCACAGATGGAGCTGATAAAAAACAAAACAAAACAAAAAAAACCCCAAACTGGGTTGGTAGCAAAAATATACTGAAAGTTGCATTCGGAAGGAAATTGGTCTGTTTGTATTGGTGTGGTGGGCTCAGCTAAAGGACCATGAGTCAGTTGAAGAGAATCCAAAAGGAAAGCAACAAACATTGCCCAAGGTCTAGAAAATGACCTAAGGGAAGATTTGGGGTGAGAGAAAGGGGGAGATTAAACAGAAAAGGGGAAAAAAAAAAAAGTGTGTGTCTGCTTTCTCATGTTTACAGAGGAGAAGGTAGATTACAGCCTGTCATGTATACAAATGTCAGTTGCAAGAGGAGATACAATAAATGGTCTCCATGCCCACTGTGGATAGCAGAAATAGCTTCTAATTTAAATTGCAAAAAAGGAAGGATTTAGTTTAAGAAGGTCCCTTAATGTTTAGAAGCAAGGATAAGTATAGGATAGATTAACTGTTGGGTTCCCGAGCCTTTGAGAACCCCGTTAAAAGTAGTTTGGAAAATTATATGTGAGGAGTGATTTAGATTTGGCTTATGCTACCTTGGGCAGAGCAGTGGCCTGGGGATTCTCCAAAGGCTTTGCTTCCAAGGCAAACATGGAGTTTAAGGCCATGCTTCATCTCAAGCTTGTTAAAAGTGGAAGAAAGACTCTCTCGGTGGTTATTGGACTGGGTCATCCACATAAACCCTGTGGTCTGTGTTGCAAACACAGAGGAAAAAGCAAACTGTTTGCAGAGTGTTCCCCAGGACTCTGGGATGGGTATGCACGAGGGCACGACCTGCCCTGTGGGTGAAGATGGACGCCTGTTCACTGATCACTGGTGATGCTTCTTGACCGATGCTACCCTTGCACAGATCCTCATCACTGTCACAGTCCAGAGGCCATGGCCATCTCTGAGTTGCCAGGTCCCAGGTGGCCACTGAGCACCTGCTGCAGCTCCTGGACCCAGGTGCTTTGAGCAGGAGGTGGGACAGGAGGGCTTCCGAGGGTCCCTTCTGAGCTCAGCTATCTGATGATGCTATGTAAAGGGAAGGGGAGGGCTGCCGCTAGCCTCAGTGGGGACAGCCAAGGTACCTGTGCGCTAGCAGGCAGTGTGTTTTTAAGCAAGCAAAATGCTTCTCCTGTTCGATTTAAATCTATCTTAATAACCACATAGCGTCCTGGAGAGCTGTGCTTCAGAACCAGCACGTATGTGGCTTGCAAACAGAGTGCATGTTCAATACAACTTAGTATTTAAATAGTGTGAGTGTTGCTGCGACAGGTAAGTCGGTAGTAATTTGACTGCTCATTTAGGCCAGTTATTTTGAAGACTCCCTCCCTGGCTGTGGAGTCATTAATGTTATCTCCATGCTGACAACACCTTGAAATCATGACAACATGAGCTTATAAAAGCAGGTGTTAGGAGACCTGATGCTGCCTGTGGTGATGAGGCAGCGCCAGTGCGGTGTTTGCCTGCCCTCAGCGGGGTCAGTGTAGGTGTGTACCCAAGGAGGAGATGCTGGCCCTGTTCCTCGGACCATGTTAACCAGGCATACACCGCACTAAATGGCTTGAAGCTAAATACCTTTACAACTTGAGATTTTTCTTGCCTCTGATACACATTCGTAATCAGCTGTGACCTTTTTTTTTCTTTCCCCTCCCATGGAGTTAGAAGATAGGAAATTCAGTGGATCGTCTTGTTTGTGGGTACCTCCCATGCATCATCTGCATGTAATACTTCTCTGGACGGAGATGGGGCTTTGCAGCGGCTACTGCTGCAATCAGCACTGAGGAGCCGCTGTGGGGGATGAAGGGGCCCCATTGTGTGCCCTCGCCCTGCTTTCGGTAGTGGGGTTTCTGTGGCTGATTGTGAGCATGTAGGAGGCAGGCTAACTCTAATTTGTCTTCTGTACTGCAGGCAGAGTGTAAAGGGCCGTTGTTTACAAATGAAAAGATAATTTCTAACTTGGATAAATGGGACACGGAATGGCTGTGGCAGGCTGTAATAGCAGTGGAAGCTGTATTGCCATTTGCAGTCAATACAAGGTTTAAAATGCATGAGGTGGGTGAATTAGAAAGTGGGAAAAACAAACTCTAATGGTTTCAGATGCATATTTTCATCATCTTCTCTAAAACAAATATTTTTATCATTTAATGTCATGTTTCCTTAGAGTAGGGATCTGTTTACAAAGCTCTTCTCAGGGAAAGGATATGGATAGAGAAGACTTCGAAATAGAAGTCATGCTTTGGTTTGGTTTTTAGCTTTTTTTTTTTTGTGGTGTGTCATTGAATATGACTCTTCTAGCCTTTTTTTATCTCTTTCCAGTATTTTTTCTTTTTTTAACTCTCCAGGATTTCAGGATCTGCTTGTGGAAGGGGGTAGGATACCCAGTTGGTTGATGGTGCGGTGTCAGTCTGGCATGACAGCATTCTCAGCTGAGTTGAGATTAGGTTGCTTGTTTCTCATCACAGTGTTGTCCCCATCAGATAACTCTACTCCAAAGGTAAGAGTCCAGATTGTAACTAAACTTTGTGAACTTGCAAGATCCTGGGCCTGCAGAGTTTCCTGCACTCTGCAGGAAATCCTATGTTTTTTACCACTTTCCCAGTCCACAGGAGGTAGGGAGCAGCAGCAAGATGATATCTCACCTTGCAGTGGTGTGAAGTGTCTGTGTTGGTAGAGCTTTCTGCAGAGCAGACTTTCATAAAAAGGCATTAAATTCTTGTCTGCACCTATAGCTATAGGCTCATGGAGGCATTTGTAGCTTTCGGGGGGCCATCATGTAACCATCTTCTCTCCCCTGTTTTTTCCAGAGGAGAGCCAGGGTTACTTTGAAAATAAGCTAAACTTGGTCCTGCTGTGGGAGCTTGCATGATTGCCAGCTTTTGCAGCTCAGCAGGGCTTTGTGTTACAGTCTGAAGTGATGCTCATGGAGTTGCCGGAGAGGCAGACAGAACTGCATTCCTCCAACCCATCTTCAGAGGCTGGAAGGCACTGGGATGCCAAACACCCATTTTTCTTCCCCTCCCCCCACCCCCCCCCAGTCATTCCCCAGAAGTCAACAGGGCTTTGGCAAGTCGCTGAAGAGGAGAATCAAGTTCACCAGCACTTGCTGAGATACGAACCGGAGACACCTGGCTCTTGGTGTATGAGAGGACCCTTTGATTCCTGTCAACTGCTCCAACTGAAAGGACTGAAAACGTTTTTGTTTCTGTCCTAGGTTAATGGAGACAGCAAAAGAAATGACCAGGGAGTCCTTACCTATCAAATGCCTTGAAGCAGTTATCCTGGGGATGTATCCTTTCACGTGCCTGTGGCTTTTTCCATTGCAGTGCCATTGAATATATTGCCTTTCCCGAATGGTGTTTGAGATGGTCACAGCCAAAGGTGAGTGCCAGCAGCTCAGAGAACTGCCATAGTATTGATCAAAAAGTTGCCGAATTGCCTAGGCTTGTCGGTACAAGCTTGGATGCTGTGTGCCCAGTTCACAAGTGTCATGCTCTGGCCGTGCCGACTTTGCCTTCTGCCCTGGTAATCTGCATAATGTCAGGATCTGACCCAAAGTGCCCAGATAAGTATCTGTCTACACAATCCCTGTTTTCTTCGTTAGTATTTCTCTGCCAGTTATTGTCGGAGCTTGGTAACACCTGAGGAATGCAGGTTCTGTCCTATGTTTGTCTAATGTTTACATGGCAAAGTCATGTTAGTTTTTGTCTCTCAGCCCACAGCTGTGCTTTGTGCAGAAACGTGTATTATAGTTAAACATTTACACTTTACCTTAACATAATGCTTGCTTCCTATTCAGTCTCAGAAAAAAAACGCCAAGAATATTTTCATTTGGAGACTGACTTGTTTCTTGATGCTTTTGTGCTGTCACTGATAAATCAACCTGCATCATCCTAAAACACTAGACGAGGGCAAGGCAGGGTTACAGGAATAATTGTATGCCGGATACATCTTACCACCACTGATCAAGTTTTGATTTAAAACAAAACAAAAACCCAACCCAAAATAAACCCCGAAGCAAACCAGCTTCTGGCATGTCTCTGTGGCGTTTTGCTTGCTGCTGCTGCCCCCTCTCGTGGGAGAAGCATCTGGCAGAGCCCAGCAGGTAGTGCTGGCTCATGAGAAGGGGTGGCTGCTGTGAGGTGGGAAGGGGACGTGGGCTGAGCAAGCGTCATCTGTGGTGTGTGAGACTCGATGCTGGCTGAGGTCTGTGGTGTGCAGCGGGTGCTGCTTGTGGCTGTGCTTGGCTCCCCGTGCGCCAGGGGTAGGCTTCAGGTCTGAGTCTGAAAGGTGGCTCTGGTTGACAGGGCTTCCCCTGCAAATGCTGGCAGGGTCTGCATGCAGCTAGAGGGATGGGGGTCCTGGGGGCTTGATGTCAGCAAGAGATTCACACTGATGCCCTCCCAGAAACAGAAATTATGTCAGTGGATCTGTTGTGCTTGCCCTTGTGTCAGGGATGTCTCCCAAACTATTTGGGGACCAAAGGGATGGGGGAAATAATCCCCAGGTGGAGTTGATGCGGCTCTGCAGTACTGATTAAGTGTCAGCATGGCTTCTAATGCTGTGTTTCTGGCACTGAACCGATTATTCCACATACCACATGAGCAGAGGGCGATTAGTGCTGTACAGATGACCATGACAACCTAAAAGTATTCTTGCTGATCTAAAAGTTTTGCCTGTTTTATTTTCATTTGGAAAGAGGGTTTTTTCTGCTTGCCTCAAACCTGACTTCTGTTCAATTTCTTCTTTTTCTTTTTGAGCGGTGGAGGAAGCAAAACAGTTGAAAGCCATGGTTTATACTATTTGGTGTCATCTGAAGTTTCTTTGGACTTAAGATTTGGATGAATCTTTCTGTCTCTAGATGCTCCTTTAAAAAAAAGTCTATGGAAAACTTTTTTTTTAATTGAGATTACCTCATGAGAAAGCAGGGGAGGGTATGAGACAGGCCTGTCTTCCCATGTCTTCTATTTGCTGTCTTGGAGAGACAGCACAGCCTGTGTGTGAGAACAGGGGCTATCTACTGGGATGGTGGTAACAGATATGTTAAAGTTTAAGAGATCCCTGCAATATAAAACCTAAATATTTTGTTTGAGGTGTGGGTACACAAAGAGTGTAGCAGTGGTGGGTGGATGGGCTGTCTGAATATGTGTGCTTTGAAAGTGGCCGGTATGAAGCCTGTGCCCTTGCAGAACCTCGTGCTGCCATGCTGCATGTGCACTGTGGGTTTTTAGGAGGCATCTTTGTAACAGCACGTGGGGAAGTTTGCTGATTTTTCTCAGCTGTGAGATTTTGATCTTCAGCATTGCCCTCTGGATGCGGACATGGTGAGGCCAGCAGCTGTGACTTGCTTTCCAAGGTCAGGCAGTTACCAGATAAGAGATGCGCTTACCCACTCCTGAGTGTCAAACCAATGTCTTCACATATGCCTGAGCTGAGCATCCCTGAGTGTGTGTGTTAACCTCTGGTTCTCTTCTCTGTCTCTGGAAATAAGGTACTGCTTGTAATTTATGTGCTGGCAGGCTTTGCCATGTTGCTGGGATACCGAAAAGAGCACAGCCCACTACAGCGGACCCTTGGCGTGAGCCTTCATTCAAAGGCTAACTCGCACAGAGCAGCTTAGCAAGGTGTCATTTTAATTGAGCTGCTTGCTGGCTCGTGCAATTGCCTTTTACTATGCGACTTTTTATAAAATGCTTCTGTAACCCCTCTTGGTGCAGAATTACATTTTGCATAATTGCCTTCACACTAGATCTTGAAGTGGTTTTATAGGGCAATGAGTTAAAATACTGAGCTACCCTGTCTGCACGCACCAAGGGAGCAGCTTCTGTGAGATGACCGAAAGCTCGTACAGATCTTACAATGTTATTTTGCAGCAATCTGCACAGCTCTTCTTCTCTGCATAGCTGTCTGAACTGGCTTCGTATCTCTCTGTTTACATGGTCTGCTCGTCAGTGCCTAAAGAGAGGCATTCTTCCTGCTGTCTTCCCCAGAGCATTTTTCAGTTCAGTTGTAAATCAGCTGAGTAATGGTGCGTTCAGCCCATTCCTTCTGAGCAAGCATCGAAATGACTTGTGCTCAAGAAAGGGAATAATAAACCAAAAAGTGCCAAGGGAATTTTATCCGTGCTGTATTCACTTTATTAAAATGGGGAGAGCAAAATATCAGAGAGGGGGAAGCGGCATGGTACATCCATCCTCAGGGAGTCCCACAGAGCGTGTCTGTGTCAGGTGAACATAACTCACTCCCGTTGCCTTCAGTGTACCTCTCCCAGTTCATGCGAGGTAACGGTCAGACCCATGCAGTGTATTAGACCTCCCCCCATCCAATAGCATCATTAAACGAGGAAGAGAAGAGCCGAAGTGCCTTAGGAGGGAGAAATGATTTAATAGCTTCTGCACTATGCCTTCTGCGCATTTAATCAATGGATGATGTTTATCACTGCTGATGATCTGGGGCCATCCTGCTCTTCCTGCCTAGCAAGTACATCTCTGGGCTTGGGAGTGAGTGTTTTCAGTAGGGGGGAGAGTTTTTTGCCGCAGTCATTGCAGGATATTGATGCCCCTCTTTGCCCCCTGCATGCTTGTCCACAGCGCGACCCACTCACTAACTGAAATACAGGCGAGGAGGGTCCTACTGAATATGTACAGCCCCTCTGGTAGCTGGAAAGAGCTGGGAGAGAGCTTTTAATTGCTTCCATTTCTCAGAAAAATAGCTCTTTTGTTTTTGCTGAAGCCTTATCTGACGGTTTTGAAGCATGAGGTTTATTTTCCTCCTGCTCCACCTCCTCACTCTGAGCTACCGGATTCAGCACTGCTAGCATAAATAAAGCTGCCTTCTCACTCCTCTCAGCCTGCTCTCATCCCCTCCAGCTTGCTTGTGCCCTGTGGCACAGCCTCCACAATGGCTCGGGGTGCCTGCTCACGCTTCCCCAGCCCTTGCGAGCAGCAGGAGAGGAGGGGACCAGATACCCTGTGGCTTTCTGTGCTCATCTCGACCAGACTTCAGCAAAAAACACCCTTGCACTGCAATGTCATCTTGTCTGAGTTAAATAAGGGAGAATTTCAAACTAATAAATAACAAATTGATTAGCACAAGTGGTGTAATGGGCGCTCATTTGCTCAATATCAGGTTCATCTGGCTTTCCCTTTTTTTGTTCTTTGGTTTGCAAGGCAGAGTGGGACTTGTAGCAGAGACACCAGAAGGTGTCAGGCGTGATGCTGGGCTGTCCTGCAGCTGGAGGAGAAGCACTTGTGAGTCTGGGTGCTGGGACAGCTGGGTGCTTGGACCGGCTCAGGCATCAGTGTTGGCCAGCTGGTCTGATCAAACAATTGATGCTGGCACTTATCTCTGAAACCTGAGAATGTCTTGGTTTGTTTGAAGCTGCTGTGAGCTCTGCAGGGCCTTGCTGCACTGACTTATGTTTGGGCTTTTTTCCTTCGGGGCTATGAGGAGAAGGGTCTCCCTATGTCCCCTGCCCCTGGGGGTCTCCGTGGGTCTGGGTCCCTGTTGGTGCTGCAGGGATGGGGCATGGTGCAGGGTTGGCACTCGTCTCCTCACTTGCCACTAGCACACCCCTTGCATAGTTGCTGCCTGTCAGCTTGGCAAAGGCACCAGGTTTTTTTCTCCCAGCTAAACTCCTGTTGAAGCTGGTTTAGATGCAGGTGGGCTGAGGTCCCCACAGCGTGTCCCCTCACCTCCTGTTCAGCTGGCTGCGATTCCTAGCGGTGGTGCGAAAAGTGCTGGCGGCAAGTAACCTGAGCTCACTTAGCCATGGGGAGCCAGCTGCTGTCTGGCAGGTGCTATCAGCTGCTAAGACCTATTTCCTGAAATATTTGAAGACTGGAGCCACAGTGCCGGCACATGGAAAGATCCTGCTTTGATTATTTATTAATAATTAAAAAAAAAAAAAGCAAGAGAACATTTTTTTGAAAAGTTGCTGCTGGCAAATAAACAAGGTGATGGGCTTCAAGTCTCTCTTCTGGCTGGGAACTGCTCTGTGCTCTGCAGTGGGGGTACCTGTCTGTACGGATGGGGAAGATGCTTGGACTTCTTTCTGGGACTTTTTTGATATTAGAGTTCACCAGGAGGTGGGGGAAAAAAACCCAAATAAACCACAGAAGGGCATTGGTTGAGACATTGTGTAAGTATGCAGATTTAAAGAAAACCCATCCAGATGCTTTCTGCTCCAGAGTTTTAAAACTAGGGGGTTGACTGAGCTAACACCTTAACTAATTCTCCCCTTTTCAACTGACTAAGGATGTTACTCCTTATTTGCCCCACTGCCTAGGAAGGTCCAGGTGGTGGCCAGAGTGCAGGTTTTATGTCCCAAGTCTTGCTTGTATTTGAGTCTGGGATCTGAATGTCTCCCAAGTAACCGGGCTAGGTTGTGCGTGAGCCTGGGTAGTGAAGGCGATGGGACTTTGTGAAGCACAACAACCTGTGGCTCAGAGGATGGTGTGCTTGTGCCGACTTGCAGATCCGTAGTACCTGCATGCTGGCATGGGAAATCTGGTCCTTTCTGAGGGTTCTAGCAGTATTGGTGTGCTCAAGAAAGCCTACTTGTTAATAGACCCATACTGGTTTATCCCTGTCACCCCCAAAGCATGTTATATGCTTCGGGCCCAATTCTTCTCTCACTACTTTGACCCAAACCAGGTCTGAGGGATGGAGACACGCTGTACCAACCCATTCCCGTGAGACCCTGGTGGGGCTCCAGGTATTGTCCTTGTGCATAGGAGTGGGGGAAGAGGAGGGATATTGGGGCAAGAGGTGGCCAGCCAGAAGATTAGTGTCCCTCTTGTGTGATTTCCAAGCAGATCTGCATCCCTCAGTGCTGTTTTTCTGCTGCTTTGATTTACGTGAAGACCTGGGATCGGGAGGCCACCGAGCTTTCGTTACAGCTGCTTTTGCCCTCTCCTGCTCTGTGCTGCTTCTGTATTGTGGCACATAATTTACTCCCTGACTCTCCATCCTGCAGTTACAGTCCCAGCTCAAAAGTGTGATTACAGCTGCGGCATTGCTGTGTCATTGCCTTTTGTTTGCCACAATACAGCTCTCCTTGGGCAGAGCAGAAAGGAAAAGAAATAATAATGATGCATGGATGGAGGGGAAGATCTGACGTGCGTTTCCAGCCCGTTTGCTGTGTATTTCATCTCGGGTGGGGACTCTCATTAACTAGTCACTCAGCAGAAGCAACATGTGCCTAAAGGTTAATTTCCCCAGCGGTTGTTGCTGGGTTATTTGATGGTGGGTAATTTCCGTCCTCAAAAGATTCTTTTACTCCTACCTAGTATTTAATGAGATTAAATTGCAACTTCTCCGAGACCTCGTGGCAGAAGTGTGTATGTGTGGCAGGTGGCCACCAAAGCTTTGTGTGGACTTAATAGAAAGGCACTCGGGGAGCAGAGAGAAAACCCTTTCATAATGAGTGGGAAAAATAGTGGCGATGTTTGAAAGCTTCATAGGTGTTAATAAAAGATACTGCTTTTTCAGTTACACAGAACGATAAATACAATGGACTTCCGCAAGAATCTGTCTGTAGGACACAAATTATTGTAACATGACTTTGATGTACACAGGATGCTCCTTTTAAGGCCTGGAGCAAGGTGACCTTTTAAATGAGGTGACTGTGGGCTGAGTTTTCCAGTTGATATAGCGGTGCTAGGCCCCATTCTGACGTTGCAGTGTATTTATAATCTTTAATTCTACCGGTGGTGTGGGGTTTTTCTTGGAGAAGCTAGTCCTAATGCAACAGTGATCCAGCGAGATCACCATAGAGCTATTTCTGTTCTGTGTTGGTGTAGCTGGTATCGGGGTGAGCTTTGACAGTTGCTGCAGGGTGCTCATGTTTGATGTAGGTGGGGCAGCAGATGGGCAGAGGTGGGTGCACGTAGCCATGGCTGGCCGACGGGTTGTGTGCGTGGTAGGGAGGTCTGTGCTCTGCTTTGCACGCTTGTCCAGACTTACTGTCATGCAGATACTGAAGTGCACCTGGAGCTGGGCCCATAGTGTTGTCCGTTCCTATACTCTCTAATACATTTTCTCCAGACTGCTAAAGCTGATGACATCTAGCACTGAATGCAATTAAATATGTTTGACATTGAACCGAAAAGCTTCCCTGTGGCTGTTCTAAAAGATTTTTGCCAATGTGTTTTTCATGCATTTTTTTTATACAGAGGTTTAACTCCTTGTTCTCGACCTCAGATTCTGGGCAGCTCACAAATCTCTTACTAGTGGGTTCCTGTATTCACCTGGAGGGCAAAAGTTTGAATATGTGAAATTCAACAAGCGCCAGATGGGTGAAATATCCCCTTGAGAAAATGCTTTAGAGACAGATGAGAGCTCCCGGATGCTTTTCCTGCATCTCTGTGGAGAGAAGAGGTGAAATGCAGGGTGCGGGTCAGGAGGGTCAGCATTCTGGGGAGTTGCACTGGTGGTGAGGTGGGGTGACAGGCTGGGCAGAACCAGAACTGAGCCTGAATTATGTTTTACAGTATTGCTACAAAGACTCTTTGTGTTCTCAGTTTTCCAGCAGCTGTCGGGCAGCCATGCTATGCAGACAGGGGAGGAAGACCGGCTGCAGTAACATCCCAGGGCATCTCAGCTGTGCAGGGGCTCTTGTTTCGCGGCTGTTAAAGACCTCCTTTTTGGGCACGGGGTGGCAGGAGGAGGGGATGCTGGAGATCCCCAGAACAGGACCCTGGTCTGCGCCAGTCCCCGCAGCTCCAGTAGGGACCGACCCCACTCCTCCGTTCTTCAGGCTGCCCTGATGCTATCCTGGCAGCGCTGCCCCTCTGTATTTCATAGTGGCACTGCCCTGACCGACCAGCTTGACTGTGTCTGCCTCCAGGGATGGCTCCGGGGTTACGGCAGGTGCCTCTGGCTGGCGTAACCCCAGGCTGGAGCATCATGCTGCAGCCTTTTCTGGTCATCCCTCCTCCATTCCCCAGGCATGGGTGGGGGTCTCAGTGGCAGAGGGGAAGGACGCCTGCTGTCCCAGGGGCCGGGTGTCAGCACGTGGAGCCAGGGTGCGTTTCAGCTGTCCGGGGATTAGCAGCAGGGAGTCGCGTGCAACGTAGGCGCTGACGCAAACTCACTTGCGTGAGGGAATCTGTCTCTCCTCCCCCTGGCACAGGTCAGCAGCCTCCCGAGGACATGACCCGGGACCCGCGCGTAGTTATCCTCTGAGATCACCTACTACGCTGTTACGGAGTTTGGCCCTGGCCTCTGCACGTGGTGCATTTGAAATGGCCAGCCAGTGATTCAGGGGACATGTTTTGCTTTTTAAAAGCGTTTGTTCCTGACCATGTGTGGACCAGTGGTGGACTTGGCAGTGCTAGGTTAACCGTTGTACTTGGTGATCTTAAAGGGCTTTTCCAATCTAAATGATTCTATGATTCTATGTCTTTGTGCTTATCTAATTAATTATCCATCTGGGAGCTTTACTTTGTTCGTCTCAGCAATGTGTTACAAGGGTAACATGCAAAAACATTCTTGTATGAGGAGTGGCCATGCCGAGGGCCAGTTTACAGATGGAAGGGCAGACTGTCACTCTGGAGAGCAATAAATTCAGATTTTTTGTACTGTTTGAAGATGTGGGAAAATGAGGATCAATAATCTGAGTCGTACCAAGCTCCAGCATGAAATGGAGGGAAACATTGTTCCCTTTTAAGAGCATGGGAGTTTGATGTTGGTGTCAAATGGGAGAGTTCCCACTGGGGAGAGTGGTCTCTCATCTGGCGTGCTGACCCAAATACTGTTGTGGTTTTTTCCTTCGCCCCAAGCGTGGTTAAAAGTCAGGCCCTTGCCTGCCTGAACCATTGCATCTTATTCTCCAAGCAGTGAAATGGGCTTTGGCAGCATTTGCTGTATCTGGGGCACAGCGAGAATAAATTTGTGTTTGCAAGAAAGCACTTGTCCTGGCAGTTAAAAAAACCTGCTAAAGATGTCTTAGAGGTGTAATTGTGCGTGCTCCCTTCCCAGTGCCATTGTTGCCTTGACGCAATGCACACCAGATACTTAACCAATGGGCAGCCCTCCGTGGAACGATTCCCCATCAGCTTTAAAACCCACTTCTCAGGGAACTATTTTCATCATGTGGTGCTCGGGATTTACTGCAACGGCCGGTACGGCTCACTGGGCATGAGCAGACGATCAGATCTGATGGACAAACCTCTGACTTACCGAACTCTGAGCGACCTCATCTTTGAATTTGAAGACTCCTATAAAAAGTACTTGCATTCAGTCAAAAAAGTAAAAATTGGATTGTATGTCCCGCACGAGCCGCACAGCTTTCAGCCCATCGAGTGGAAACAGCTAGTCCTCAATGTATCCAAAATGATGCGCACAGAAGTCAGGAAGGAGCTGGAGAAGTTTGCCAGGGATATGAGGATGAAGGTAGGTCCACGTGCCTGGGCGGTGGCTGTGCCTAGTCCCATCCTGCAGAGGTTGGTCTTGCTCCATGTCAGCAGACTGACCCTGGCCTGAGTTTAAGGTAGTATCAGGTGGGCTGGGGGTATGCTTACATCTATCTTGGTGGTTCTCCCACAGGATTTGGTGTGTTTTCAAGCCCTTAGAGCTATTTTTTAGTTCAAAGATCTCCCCTTCGGCCTGGGAAACACTTGAGCCCATACTCATCCCTGGCCATCAAGGAGCTATTGCCCAGTTTGCTTTTCTCACTGATTGTGGGAGAAGGTGGCTGGGAAGAACCAGTGTGCCTGGAGCTGGAGCTGGTGCGGTGGGTGACCTGGTCGCAGGTAGGGATCTCTGCTCTTTGCACCTGAGCTGCCAGGGGTGCCATGGGACAGCTGTGTCAGTGGTTGCTTCTACTTGCAGGGCATGCCGGTGGGCTTCCCCTGCGCCCCCTGATGCCCACCACCCTCAGCTAAATCACAAAGCAGGTTACATGGGAAGGGTCAGGAAAGCGAGTTTGTTACAGGCTGGTGCTTCCCCGCTGGCTGGTTGGACTGAAGAGCCCAGAGGGAAACGACGGGGAGACAGGGCAGGCTGCCAGGGGGCTGGAGGGTTTGGCTGCCCTTAGGGATGAGGGGTGTCCCTGACCGTGCCTCCGGGGCCGATGTGGGCGAGGAGCTGGTCGTGGTCATGGTGGAAGGGGATTTGGTGCCTTTCCAGCCGGCTGCTGGCAGCGGGAGCAGAGCAGGTGTGTTGCTAAGTATGGGGCTGGCTCTCATGGAAAGGTATGCGGCATCGCATCCAAGTTGTTCTGGATTCCCGTCTCCTGCCCTGCTGAAGAATGACTCCTACGTAGCAGCCGCATGCCTTTTTGGCTGAGGCACCTGCCCCCTCACCCTGACCTTGAGGTGAGTGTCGCCAGTAGCATCGTAGCCCCTATGTCCTGCTGCCACCTCTCCTGCCCTGCCAAGGAGTTTTGAGGGCCAACTGGTACCATACTGTCACCTTAAGCATATGTGCTTGATTACAGATGTAGTGAAGCTTTTTGTCTCCTTCTTCTCTATTCACGCACTTTTAATACCATCTAGAGAACAAACAGCTAAAGCAGGCTCTAGTTGCAGACATCCATATGGGTGAACGATTTACTGAACTTACTACTTGCTTTTGATAGAGGGGACCAGCTCTGTGTGTGTGCTGAGCTGTGACATTGGGTCCAGTCCTTTTAAGTATCTCAAGGTCAGGACCACAGCCCTGAACCCTTGAAGGCTGAAGGCCCTGTCTCTTCTCTTGAGTTAATTCAGAATTTGACCCACTTGATTCAGAGGGCTCCTGTTGTGAGGGGGCTGACATTGGAGGATCAGGTCTTAAAAATAGCCTGGAGTGTGAGTGTCATGCTGATGGACTAAAGTTGGAGAGCCTGGGGGATGCGGGCAAGTGTGCAAATGGACAGGAGAGCTACTGACAAGTTCCACTGTTGCACAGAGTTCAACTGCCAGCCTGGGAGGCGATCACCTCTGTTTGCAGAGAGGAAAGCTGGAAAGGGCGATTTGGCTGCATGAGTTTCCTTCAGCTGATGCTCAAAGCCATTTTTCTTATCCCTTGCTGTTGCCAGCTCTGAAGAAAGCTGTGGATGAGACCTTTTTTTTCAGTATTTAGCTGGGAATTGAATTGGTGACACCAACCAATTTTTGCAGAGAGCCCCTGAACAGCTATCACATGGTAACAGCTTTGGATTCCTCTTAACCTGGGCAGGGTTTGAATAAGCCCCAAGGGACTGAAGACTCTTTGTATGCTGTCCCTGCTACTGTGTGAGGCCCTTTATTTTTTATTTTCAGTGAATCATTGCCTTTATTGAATGCCTTTTTCTTCCCTCCTCCATCTCTCACAGATTCTGAAACCCTCAAGTGCCCATTCTCCAATGAAAGAGAGATCACGGGGTAAGTCATTGTCCCCGCGCCGAAGGCAAGCCAGCCCTCAGAGACGGGCGTGCAGAAGAGACAAATCGTGAGTATTCCTACTGCCATCATGGTGGGTCAGAAGCTGAGGGTGATGACGTATTATTTTGCTGTACAAAACTTATATGCTCACTGGCATATATAGGAAAACTACACCAGGTATCTTGCTTACCTGAGAGGCTCCAGAAGCTGCTGGTACTGCTGATGTCCTGGCATTGCTGTGCTTACTGCTGCCTGATGGCCCCTTTGTGTGGTGTCCTTGGAGGCCCCAATGGCCTTTGCTTGGTTCAGCTTGGTGTTGGATGACTGTGGAAGTGTGGGTTTCCCCTTTTATTTTTTCAGTCTTTATGCAGTCCACTTTCTGGAGAAACAAAGAACCTAGTTTGGGGTGCAGGGGACCTGTACAGGAGGGAAAGTAGTTTGATCACATTTAAGGGTGTTCAGACATAGGTATTAAAACCAGGAGGGTCTATCTGCTAGCAGTGGTGGGGTACCCTGCTGTCACGGTCACTCAGACAGAAATTGGATTCTCTGTGATGAGCCTTTGTACGGAGCTGTTCTGATGGAGTGGTTTTCGCTGAGGACTGTCTGACTTGCAGGTATGGTGAAAAAGTAAACCTTTTCTCTTTTTGCCAAAGTGGAAACATCACTTGCATTGTATTGTTTGATTTTAATCGGCTTAAAGAAACCCAGACCACTTCCCTCATGCGTCGTAGCTAATAGTTTTTCTTAAACTGTGCAGGGAAGGATGGACTAACTGCATGCGATACCTCTAAATGGATAAAACTGATCTTCCAGATCACAGGCCTTTTACAGCCACTGGCAATTCAGACTCCCATACCTTAGATGTGGAAGAGTTGAGTTTTAGCTGTACTGCTTCATGCCAGGAAGCTGACAACTGTGAAAGCCTATACGTAACCCAGATTAGTCACATATTTATGATCATTGCTTTTTAAATAGGCTCCCAGACTACTGTCTCAGCACTTATTTATTTATTTTAAAGCAGCTAACAAAGACATTAGACTAACCTTCTAAAGATAACTTCAAGATACTTTAGCAGAAGGTGATTTCACAGCAGGCTTTTATTTTTACATGTGAATTCACACTCAGTCCACGATGCTGTACTTCAGGCTTCATCACCGAGAGCTCCTTGTTTAGTGCATGGATAATTATAGTTGTAATGGGCTCGGCTACTCCAGGCTTATTCACCTCCTAGATTTGCTTTGAGGGATGGTTTCATCTTTGCGTTTCGTAGTGCTTCTGCAGTTGCTGGAGTGGATCACGTATGTCTGGAGAGAAGAGTGAATCTTGCTGGGCTTGGAGACTTGCCAGTTGGGCTGGTTTCCTGAGAGGGCTGCTGGGCACGTGGTTGTTCTGCAGTGGCTGGTTCCTCCTTGGCAGCTTTGCTTTTCCAGGACAGGAAGACAAGGAAAGTACTGGTGGCCTTGCAGTGGCTTCGGCACCTGTTACCTGCTTGGTGGTTCTGCTGTGTTGCTTGGTATCTAAAGCGAATTATATGTTATTCTAAAGCAAACCCTGGGTCACCATGATACAAGATCCAGGACCCAGCTATATAGCATGATGCGGGGAGCAGGAGATCGAGAGCAGACTCCACACGAGACCTTCATCTCTGCTCTGGCAGAAGGTGTTGAAGCATCTCGGAGTGGGTGGGAGCTCTTGCAGCACGTGCTTTGTGGCTGCGTGACAGCCCTGTGGGTCCTGCACAGCCCCCTCACAAGCCTGGCCAGTGCACTTGGAAGGAAAAGGGGAGTTAAGGAACTTTTGGCAGGTCCAGGGCCTTTGAGCAGACCCAAGAGGCTGCTTTCTGTTAGAAAAGTGATGCCAGGGAGAAGAACTGGGTTCTTGATGTTAAAATGATGCTTCTGTGCAGTGATGCTGGCGGCTTGAAGGCTGACTATGCCTTTTGCCCCAGTGGGAGTGATGCCGCAGAGGAGTACGCTGCTGTAGGGAGTTCCCTGCTGGTGATAAAACCCTTTCATTTCCAAAATCGAGATCTGCTGGTTTCTGCAACAGGAGGTCTCTGAGATCTGAAGCTAGGGGAATGCCATCCCCTCATCAGGAATGAGCTGAATGACACATACATGAATGACACATACATGGGGTGAGAAATACGAGGGGAAATTGGGTATTTTCTTCCGCGTGTTGATGAGTCTCTGAGAACCTAGTTGCGGTGAGAGGCCTTTGTGTTACGGACAGAAGAGGAAAGACTTTCAGGCTTGCTAGGCTTTAGGCTGAAATCCTAGCTAAAGAATGGCCGTGCTTATCAACACTGTGTTTTGTTTCTTTGTAGACCTCTCACATGCTGTAATTACAGCTTTTTAGAGCTTGCAGGGGAGGGGGAGAGAAGTGTTTGCTCTAGCGTGAGCTGGCAGGAGCTGAATAACACATTCATTTGAGAGGCTTCACCTGCTGATGACAAGCTGTTATTACAGCCTGGGTTTTGTCAACAATAAAATTATACGGGCCTGCTGGGAGAAGTCTCCCAGTGAAAAATATGTGAACTGGAATGTCTTTGGATTGTTTCTGAAAGACAAAGGCTGAAGCGGTGCTTAAGGACAGAAGTGGATTTTGCAGCCTCAACCCTTTAACTGCTCATCCTGGTTCCTTACTAGTTTGTTAGGTAAATGCCGGTGGTAGCCACGATAGCATTTTAGCCTGGAAATACAGCTGCAAGGCAGATAGGGTACGTTGCAGGACACGGGTGGCAATGCGAGAAGCAGTACATGCCTGTCTAGGAGACTGGTGTGTAGTCAAATTGCAGCTCATTAACTGAGCTATGGTAGCAGTCCATGTGCTCTTAGCCCACAGCTGATGTGATCCTGCTAAGGGTGGCCAACAGACAGGATGAATGAAGAGGATATAGGGTGGTGTGAATCTGTCTGGTAAGTCTGAAGCTTTACTGTGTCCACTTGTCCATCCTCTGAAGTCCCAAAGCAGGAGGGTGCAGTAAATTGCAAGCCACTGTGCTGGAACAAGCAATGCAGTGCATCATCCTCAATAGAAGCGCTTGGAGCTGGAGGGGTTTGGGAGGGTTTGGAAGGCAGTGTCATGCGGCAGCTTGAAGCAGTCTCTGCTCCTAAATGTCAGTTCACCAGACCTACTTCCTTTTAATTTTGTACTGAGGCTTAAGACATGCATGCTCTGTGAGTGTCATAGCAACACTGGCCTTGTGTGCTTCTGGCCTAATTTAGCTGTTGAAAGGAAAATTCTGTTAGTCCATTATATTAGGATGTGCAAGGGGGCAGGATTATATTAGGATTATATTATATTAGGATGTGCAAAATCAGGCAGATCCAATGCAGACAACTCATGAGTACTGTGTACTGAGCAGCTATGCACAGCTTATCCATGTGCTCATCATCATGGCACTTTGGAGGTGCAATCTGATGGGCCAGTACAGCAGAGGTCCCTCGCTTCAGAGGGGACGTTTGACGTCAGGTCATTTGCCAGCCAAGGTGAATAGGGGCTGTGGTGCCTCTGCTCCAACAAATCCTTGCCTTTTCCTAAAACCCCGAAGAGAAACCTTATGGAGGGCAGTCTGTTTGTAGCTACAAGCTAGAGAATTGTCATGGAGTGGAAATGGGCATTTCATCATGGGTGTGCAGTGACTCCCCATCTCTCTTGGATAATCAGAGAAGGTAGAACTATCCAGGCATGCTTTGATTAAAACCATATTCTGGCTTTAATTAAAAGGAGGGAGGGAGGGAGAAAAGGGTGGGAAGGGAAGAGGATCCCTAAATTTGAGGGAGGGAGGGAGGAAGGAAGGAAGGACAGTCTGGAATTTTCATACAGTGCATCTCTTGCTGGTCTCCGACTCCTATGCAAGCTCCGAGGGATGCAGCTTATAACTTGTTTTCTGGCTAGTCAAATCCCATCTGCTCTGAGGAATAAAGTGGAAAAATCCAATCTATCTTATAATGACTTCTTTAGGTGCAATCTCTTCCTGCAAGTGACAGAAACCAGTGAAGACTCCTTCACTTCTGTGAAGTACTTACAAACTGAGACAAACACAAGGCAGGGTGCAGGGCAGTACTGCAGAGAGAATGATGGGGTTATTAATAGAGGTGCTTGGGTAAGTGGCAAAAAACCAGGTTGCATTCGATGTGTGACTAGGCAGAAGAGCATTAGTTGTCCATAGCAATGTCCCCAGCTCTCAAATGCTGTGCAAATGCTCAGCAAACATCTGGTGTTAGCAGCTCTGCTCTTAAAAAAATAAAAAAAATTAAAAATTCAATTAAAAAATTGAATCAAAGAATTCAAAAATATTTCACATGTGTATGTGTGTATATACGTAAGCTATACGTCCCCACCTCTTAAGGCTGCAGCGGTACAGCTTTTAGATTGGTGCGTGCACCCAGCAGTGTGCCAGCCTGCCTGCTGCGCTCTGCCTCTGCTGTAGCCGTGCTGGCTGCCCAGAGCAGCTTCGGCAGAAACAGGCAGGCAGCGTGCAACGAGGAGGTAAGTGTCAGCCTTGCGTGTGCAAACTCACGGGTCACATCTGCTGCCCAGTGAGCAAAGAGTAAGCGCAAGAGCTGGAAAGCCGGTCTGAGGAGCTGTAGGAAAGCACTGGAGCCATCACCAGCTTCACATTGTACTACTCGGGCTTTAGCTGAGTTTTTGCAGTGAAGCAGATATGCTGCAGAGTCTACTAGGAGAAACATGTATTTTAGACAATGTTTTTCTTTAGAAAAGCAAACATATGGCTTAATGTGGAAATAGCTAAGAGCCTGGAATAAGCTCTCAGATTAGACATTGCCGTAGACTACAAATCACCAGGATTGTTTTGGTCTGACAACTTTGTTGCAGGAGCTTTTCCATTGCTTGCTAAATAGGGAGAGACTGATTGAAGGTTCCTTGGCTCAATCTCAATCTCGTTTGGTTCAGGTTGTTGATGTACTTAAATGACCTAACAGCATACATGTGTGTGTGATTACTGAAGTGAATGGCTGGACTATATCAGAATATAAGATGCCTGGAGACTGAAGGGAGTTCATCTTGTTTTCTATGGGCTCTAGCCCTTCACACAGACCTCGCCAAGAGGAAAGGGCAGGTTTAGAGAAACAACATGCTTTGGCCATGTGAGAGGCCTTTCCTGTTTGCTCTCAGCAGTTTCCACTTTATTCTAAAAGCCGGAGTCTTGCTCTGGGGTGGATCATGGGCAGGATGTGTCTAGTTTAGCTACTCATTTAGGCCCTCTCTCAAGTCAAAGGGAGAGGGCGCTCCCAGGCTCAGATCACGGACCCCAGATAGGATGACTTGTTCTTCACTTGCGCTTGGCTTCAGAGGCAACCCACACAAGTAGCTCGATCGCACTAGTTCATGCGACAAATTCAGTGGGATCGTGCTTATGATGCGAAAATTAGATCTAGTCAGTCCTATTTTGATGTAACCATTCCTGATTTGACAACTGCGCTCTCCACTCCTGCACGGCAGTGTGGGATTGCTGGTGAGCAGCGCCCTCTTCCCTCCTTTGCTCGCAGGCCTGCGGTGGTGGACAAGAAAGGAGACCTGGCTACGCTCAACGAGGTAGGCTACCAGCTCCGCATCTAACACAGCCATACGCCGGACAGAGGGCTTCCCTGGTGCTTCCCGCTGCACTTTACCTGCACTCCATTGGAAGGAAAAAGGAATGCAGCTATTTATTAACTTGTGGACTCTTATAATAAAATTTTACCTAGAAAATAGAAGGAGCGATTTTTTTTTTTTTTTTGGTGGCAGTATTTATTTTCTCTCAAGTCGTAGAAAAGGCATCAGTGAAGAGAGCCTAAAATTATGTTTATCAGGATGATTTTTCCCTCCGTCATGTAGCAGGTGACTCCAGTGGTGTAAGAGTTTCTTCAAATATAATTTCCCTGTACAAGTATTAATTGAATTTGGGCATTGTGCTGGGTAGTAGCATTGGGGTAACTAGGAAATAATATTCTTAGTGTTAAGATGTGCTGGAGTGCAGTGCAGTTTAAAAAAATCATATCAGTATTAATATTTAATTCAGCAATAAAAACAAGCAGTGCAGAAGTGGCGTGAGTTTTTAAAGTATCAACATTACCTCACTAAACTTAACAGATATGCAAAACTGTTAGTATTACTGTTTTGTAACTAATTTGTACTGTTTCCCAGCATTTCTGGTAGTATTAAAACAGCACTGGATGTTTTACTGCCACCTGTGTTACTATTTTGTGCATGTTGCTGAAAGATGTTAATTAATAGTAATATGCAAGTGTATTCTTAAACACTGACATCTTATTAGGCAAAATATGCGGTTTTGGTTTTTTAAATGATGCTAATTGATGAATAATGAATTTTTAAACTGTCAGAATTTTTTTATACTTTGTCACAAGCTTAGTCTTTCTGGGCTACACTGCTGAAGCACAAAATGTAGAGACTGCTGTTTTGTAGAGACAAGTGTTCACCTGCCAGTCAGTTTTGTTTCTTGTACGTGTTCCTAGAACAATGGAAAAAATGTCAGAATTACTAACCTGAGCCTATATGCTTTTCTTTCAACATTTGTGTGTAACTTTGAACCTTGTCTTTGAAAGGCTGAGCAGTCTCAGATGGTGATGCCTTGACATCTTATATTAAGATCCGACATTGCAGGCTGAAGTTAACCTTCTGCCATGCTGCTGTAGGGAGTTTTTCCTGTATTTGTTGTAGTAACAACGGCTTAGTCAGACCTGAATAAGGAAACTTGTATTGGAACAACTTCAGCAATAAATTAAATTGTATGTCTGAAATAGCTGAAAATCAAGCTTGTCTGCTTCCTCCCTACTCAGTCCTTTTGTTCTAAGACTTAGCTAAGGACCTGTGATGGACAGCAGCGTTTTCAAGTGACGGGGTAAGACTTTCATGGGGGTCTGCCGTTCGCATTAGTGAAGTTCTCTGGAAGCATTCGAGTGCTGCATTCCTGAAAATATTTCATTAGGTGCCTAAATAGAAACTGGATTATTTTACAAGTCCAGCCTCTACCCTTTGTGCTGTGCTTATAGATGATACTGCCATGGGCCTTGTGTACCTCCCCTCCTGGGCGCTTACTTTTTTTGGGATCTCCATGAAGACAGGACATTGTAACACAGCGACAATAATGTTTACTCAAATTGAATGATTTAAGCTCCTAGAACACTTTTATCAGCCAGCAATTGAATGAATAGAGAAGAGACAATTGCTTGTACACAGGCCTCATTGGTTTTTTTGAGCAATGAATCTCACCTACCTGGACAGGAAGACAACACCGAGACCCAGCAACCTTCAACGAACAGTAAAAGGCTTTCTACTAATTAGACTTCAGAAGGTCTAGAAAGAAGACTTTTCAAATGTATTATTACACTTCTTTATACAAGCTTACCATATCAATTACAGGGAGGCCTTTCCTATCCCTCTTTCTGCAAACTTTTCCACTCCTGCATTCACAATAGGAATTTTTTTGGTTCAGGAATGAAACTGAATTTTCACTTTTGGTAGAAATTCTTGTGTAATTTGACATCAGCTGCAGAGTTTCAGGTTTTTAAACTTTGTGCTGCTTAGTGTCTTGTGACCTAAACAATGTTTTTCATGTATCCCTTAGATTTCTCATGGGTGAAATGATGTGAAAAACTTTGATCAACTGTATCCTATGGCACAAGGTTATTGGATATGTTGCAAGTTTTTTTTTCTATGAAACCATGCTTTACTTCAGCTCAAGTAATGGTGGTTGGTTATATAATTTTTACCATTGTCCAGCACAATTTGTTATTTTCTCTTAACCCCTAACTTATACTGAAACTTTTTAATGCTGTAGAGGTGTGTGACAAACTGCTTTTGGTTATTGTTTTGAAGTTCAGTTGAAATATCCTCTCGAAACTTGCTTATGATGGCATTTGTCTTGTGTGGTTCTAGTGACTGTTCTTCTAAATTACTGCAAAGTGGTCAAATAGTGTAGAAACCATGCATGACTTTTTGGTTTTTTTTAATCACTTGTATGTTTATGCACAGCATGAAACTTCAATAAAATATCACAGTAGGTTTTTTTGTTAATGACTTAGGGTTATCTTTTTGTCCTGTCCAGGTTTCTATTTCAGTCACTTCTAAAATCAAGACAGGACAAATGGGAATGAACCTAAAGCAGATTTTTTAAAGATTGTTAAATACCTACCTGATTTATTATTCTACAAAGAAATCACTGAACATAGAGCCCTTAAACCCACCCTGTATAACCACTAATGGGTTATACAAAGAAAGACTGAAACAAGTCTCTAAACCCTGAAAACACCTTCTTATGGAACACTAAACACCCCTGAACTAGCAGCATTGATAACTGCATCATGTCAATCACCTTCTGCTTTTTTCTTTCAGTAGTACCTTGGCCCTTTCCCCATGTTATCGTCATCAAAATGGGGGAAAACACTTGAGGTAACAGGTCCCCCTTTTGTAAAGGAAAGTTATTATAGTCCTTTAATAATAACATACACTAATGAAGTAGAACAAATATATCTTACTGCCTTAATGGCTTCATGTGGTTACCAGGGAAGTGGGGTATGTTTTTCAGAAGGCCATCTTTACTGCCTTGAGGAATTTGGCCATTTTAAAATGTCACAGCAACACACAATATCTGAATAGAAGCCAAATATGGAAACCATTGATCAGCAGTTCCAAAGCATTTCCTTTTAAATTAGCATAAAACCAGCATTGTAAATAACTAGGTGTTTGGCCTGGCCTAAATAAGTGCTGCTCTGTGTAAAAGAGAATGGAGCTGATGTGAGGAGATGAGGGTTTAGATAAGCCTGAAAAAGTGATGCTCAAGTTAAGGCTTATTCTAAATAGCAGAACTTCTCTATTACCCACCTTCCCATGTTCAGCAGCCTGCCAGCAGTGCTCTAGAGCAGCACTGTTAGGATCTCACAGTTCTCTGCAATGGAGACAGGACACAGGCCTCCAGGCTAGCAAACCTCCTTGCTCTTAACACAGGCTACACAGGCCACTACAGCTGAACAATGCTTTTAGCTGTAACCAGTATCTACCAGAAATTTGCTGCAGCTGGTTAGGTGTTTGCATCTGTCAATCAGCTCCAGCTTTGAGAATGTCTGATTTTAAGTATCTGAATAGAGTCCAGTATGGAATAGGTAGTCATCTATGGCATTAATAACAAGTAGAGGAAAGCTCCTCAGTCACAATTACTTCCGAGAAAAATAGCCCCCTTCCACATTCCAAGCAATTTGAGCTGTGTGTTTTGGTAGGTAGTCGTATTTTTCAATGTAACACTGAAGTACTTTTCCAATTCAACTGGTTTTGTGATTACTACCACTGCACTTCCTGCATTATTCTCAAAGCACAAAGTAATCGCAATTGTACTTCTGCAGTCAGGAAAAGGAAACCCAAATGAAAATTCCAAAAATTAGGCCAGAGAAGAACAAACAAATGTTTCTGGGAGACAAATGCATCTGAATGTGATTTCAGGAACATGGGTGCAGGTTTTCCAGCACTACACTGAAAGACAATTCTTTGTTACTTTTAAGTCAGTTTTACATACATATCCATATGTAGCTCGACCAAGTTACAAGACCTGTTTCCAGCCCCCCTGTCTCCCTGCAAGTTTCCTATTCGGGCAGTCTTTGTTTTGTTTTGTAGATCGTATTTTCCACAGAATGTTTATCAGTGCATTATGAGAGTAAATATAAAGTCTTGCTCATTTAATACCTCAGGATCTGTACTTTCAATATACAACTTGACATTTTTAATAACTAAATGGAAAAAAAAAAAACTTCCTCCAATTGTTCAATATATATGAAGCCTCAAGATGTCAAGGACTGATTCCCCCCCTCCCCAGTACATCAATCCTATAAGTTTTCATGCTCATTAAACTTGGTTTTATTTCAGATATTTTATGCTACCTATATTTAAGCTTTTAGAAGTTAAAGTAGTAACTTTTTAGAACATAAATATTTGCCTTACTGCAAAGCTATCTTCTTCCTTTGGAAGTCCAATCTTGCACCTCTGCACTGACTACACTCTAGGTAACTGAGGAAATTCCTTTGCAGAAGTATTTAGATAAAAGTGTCTACAGAGCAACTTTGTAGTAAAACGTTACTTTCAGCTCATTATAAAGTGTGGCATGCACACAAACTCACTCTCCTTTACTCAAAGAAGCACACAGTTCTCAGAGAATAATCAGTTTTACTATGATTTACAATAAAAACCATTTACAGCATCTCCATGAAAAATAACGCCATTTTGAGAATGGCACAGATGTTTTCCATTATCAAAGAGGAAGCTAATGTAAAATCTTTTCTTTTTTCCTTAAAGACTTCATAAAGTAATTTAAACATTTTTTTTTAAAAAAAAGTATCTTTAAAAAGTCTACTTTACACAACACTAACAAATCAGCATGCATGCAAGCTTATTTAAACCGGACCAGCAGTGCTTGAATTAACCTTTAAAAAAATAATAATAATCACATGAAGAGAGAAGGTGAAGGTAACTTTACCAACACAAAAAGTCCTTTGGATATTACCGTTCAATAAGCCTGAACTCTGCTAGCAATGGCAGGTGGTCAGAAGAGTTATTTTCATTGGGAAGACCATTAACAGTCCAAAGATCTTTCTCTGTTAAAAGCGCCAGCCTGCCAAGAAGTTTCAGACCTCCATGAAAAGAATCCTCTGCTCCTGGTTTAAAAAAAAAGAAAAAAAAAGTGGAAATGTTCATCAGTGTGGGCCTAAAAGTCACACATTCATACGTATGCAGAAGGAGGAAAACAATATGGCAGAAATATTCTGAAGTCATTATTGTTCCATTCAAAA